CACATAACACACTCCCACTGAGTCAGTAAAATCCAAAATTCATACCACAAAGTCTGGATCTGTCTCCCAGTCATCAGCTCCATCATTCTGGTTGACAGAAACAGTGTGGCCTGCAGTCGCTTTCCACATCTGCAAGACCACAAGAACGAGCAGGGTCACACTCTAGTCACATATCAACTCATTTATGTGCAAGCTGCTGGAGATGCAACCCAAAATTCCCAGTAAAATATGTTATTTAACCACACCACCAGAAGCTGTACTTGCAGTGAAAGTAGATTTGACCTTCTGCACTGTAAAAAGGTTAGGAGCCATCAATGACATGATTTCAAAGAGAACAAAGAGGCCTTCCCTTGCTCAAATTAATATGTCTTTTCATCTACCTTCACTGCACTCAAAGACTTCTCCTCAAACAGGTTTCCAAGCCAATATCCACTTCCAAATTCTAATTCTAGATCCTGTGCATATAGTTAAGGTGTGGAAATAGGTGGTTTTTCCCCAGTCATTAATAATGATGAGAACAATACTGTTCTTTAGGCTGTATAACCTACATTATACCTGCACAACCTCATGTGTTGTGTAATGAATTTCAGCATGATGACAGAAATCCAAACAACTGTAAGACTTTGCACACAATCCAGCAACAGAGAACATAAGTTTCTGTGTTTTGAGACACATGAACAAAGTCAGCATCTTGCCTGATTTCAGGAGAAACAGAGGCAAAGAGCTGGAGTACCGAGAGCAGGAAGCAAGACTCATAAAAAGGCAAGCAATGGCATCCAGAAACAACATTCAGCACTTCCAAGAGGTTAATGACTTGGGGCATCTCACTTTCGGGAAACTTTATCCCCTGTGGAGTATCAAGTTGGATGCTTTTAATTAACACTTTTGAACGTGACTAGTTAGCAGAATTCCTGAACTGCCTGGAATGTGGCTGTGTGTTACACCCTTTGTTCTAAGTAAGTCAAGACAAATAAATTCTAAAAAGCAAAACTAAAACATCAAAAAACAAGCCTCCTGTTCTCCCAGCTTTTCAGATACACGTCAGAGAAAGGGTTTTTCTTCGCTATTCTACTAGAGCTCAGTTTTTTCACATACCATCATTCTGTCCACTTACCTTTATCTTTCTAATTAAGAATAGATTATAAGGATGATTGTCACAGGCTATTTCACTCACACAAGCATAATTCAGTAGGTGGAATGAAAACTCCCTTTTAAATGCATAAATAATAATCCATGGGCAAAGTCCACCACTCGCTCTGTCAGGCTTGTTCTACAGCCTGACGAGAATGAGCTGATGAGCCAGTTTTATGGAGCATTTCAGAAATTTCAGGCCTGGCAACATGAATGAGAACAACTGAAAAACTCATAGTCAAACACCAGGGTAACAAATGATGGAGCAGCCTGGGAGGAGGGTGTAAAAGCAGAGCAGATGACATCCTGATAAGTATATTTCCCCTTATGCTCCTTCAGGTCTCCCATCTACAAATTCCTCTGGCTATTAAGGAACTAGCATTTATAACAGTACTTCATGTGCAGAAAACTAACTACAAGTTTATAACATAAACCTTTAGAACATTGGTATTTTATCACTGTCTTTAGAATATCCTGTCTAAAGCCTTCTATGATGCGATTGTGTTTCAGATTTTCCTACATTTTCCTACTAAAATCTAATCTCTCATCAAAAAAGCTGCAAAGCCTTGGAAAGCAGATTCAAAACAGCTCAATAATGAAATTCAACATGGAATCCAGGTTCTAACTTTGTAACTTCTCTTAAGAGGGATGGCTTTGTATCCAACCCTCTGTGCAAGACGTTTAGAAATGGAATTCAAGTGACAAGAGCTGAAGCACAGGTACATATGCGTATGGCGAATCTCTACATATTTAGTGCAAAACCCTTTTTTCCCCCATGTATTTGATTCATACCTTCACTTGACTGATGTGTTTCCTTAATTCAGCTGTGCTCAGATATTTAAAAGAACAAAAGTTGGATCCTTAAGCCTAGATTTCACTGCTTCCTCCTGGAATTCTCACAAACAATAGCGCAGCAAAGAAGGATTTCATACGCTCCTCTATGCAAAATCCAGAATCCAACATGTTTCTTCCTAAATTATGTGGATAAACGCCAACATTTTTCCACACCTCAACCCTGCACTATACGAAGTGAATTACAACCGGGAGAGCGAAGCAGCCCAGTGACAAGAGATCTCAGTGCAGAGCCAGCAGGAATTTTTGCTGGTTTCGGCCTCTCTTCCAGCATCAATTCCAGGGCAGACCGAGGAGAAACATGATCTGTCTGTGACTCAGTGGTTCACGTGGCCAAATTTCTGAAGGAAAAAGCAAAACGCTGCGGCTCGAACACAAACCGACCCTAAATCTACACCGCAGATTTATGCGGCCAATCCTGCTCCTGACTCATGGGCGGACACATCATCCTACCCAGCGCCTTTAGCGGCGCTCTGGGGAACTCTCCCCTTCCCAGGGCCTTGGGACGAGCTCCTGGAGGAACACGCCGAGGCTTTAAGGTGAAGAGAAGCAAAGCTGGATGGAGGGCACCGAGGAAAAGGGGGCTCGGGAGTGTGGCAGTCAGAGCCCGGCGCGGCATCACCGCGGCGCGTCCCGGAGAAGACGCTTCCTCTCCCCTCTAGTGACCAGCGCTGCGCTGCTTCGCCGAGTTTAAATAACATTAAATAACATTAAAAAAAGGAGACGGAGCCACGCAGCCCCGGCTGTGCCCCTGCCGGCAGAAGGAATCTCGGGGTCCTGCAGGATGCTCCGCGGCCGCCCCTCGCCGGCCCCTCCCGCCCGGCCCCACCGCGCTCACGGTGCCGCCGCCTCCTCGTCCTCCTCTTCTTCCTCGGCCCTGGATCGCCCCGGTGCTTCCCGGGCTGGCGGCAGCTCCTGCTGCTGCAATTTCCGCTTCTCCTCAGCTCCCACTTCCTCTTCCCGGCTCCAGGTGGGAACGGGACGGGCCGTGCTCCGCCCCCGGGCGGGGCTGTGCCGGGAACACCGCCCCCCGGGAGCGACACTCGGGATGGGAGGCACTGCCATGATAATAAATGTGTGTATTGGAGGCAGTAGGGCAGCTGCTCCTTCCCCTATTTCTTTAAATCGCTGTGAAGAATGCGCTGTACAAGCGCTATTCCAAAAATGCACCATCAGGAGTTTTAAAACGGCCAGGGGAATTTGGGGCAGCTTGGAACAGACTTTTTCTGTTTTTCTCCTCGTTTTTCTCTCCACCCTCGCTTTTTTTTCTTCCTCTTTTTCTTCCTCTTTTTTCTTTTTCCCTCTTTTTTCCTTTTTTTTCCTTAGTCTTTTATCTTTTTTCCTTCCTCTTTTTTCCCTTCATTTTTTTCCTTCCCTTTTTCTCACTTTTTCCTCCCTCTTTTTTCTTCCTTTTGTTTTTCCCTTCCTTTTTTTCTTTTTCCCCTAATTTTTTTCTTTTTTTCTTTCTTTCTTTCCTTTTTTCTCACTTTTTCTTTCCTCTTTTTTCCTTCCTCCTTTTTAGTTTTCCCTTCTTTTTTTCCCCTCATTTTTTTTTCTTTTTCTTCTTTTCTTTTTTCTCATTTTTTCCTTCCTCTCTTTCCTCTTCCCCCTTTCCCCTCTTCCTTTTTTTTTTCTTTTTCAATTTTAATACTTTTGTCCCATCACATTTTGGAAACCACAACTACCCTGTCCCAAGGGTTTTCCAGTTTCCATCACTTTCATCACTAGGCTCCCAAGGGATCTAAACTGAACAGATGCCAAAAGGAAAACAAGATGGGTTTAAAAATGCAGCCTTAACACTGTAATTGGAGTTGTTTGTTTGCCCACTCTGTCTTTTGGAGGAGGAGAAACACACTCCAAGGAGCGACATTTCCAGCAAATAAACATGACAAATAAATACACAAATTGTAATAAAGGGTAAGATAAAAAAATCCAGGTGAACAGGAATATTTATTAATTCCAAGTGTAGCCAGTTCACAGTATAAACAAGCTCAATTACTTTTTTCTGGATTAAATATAGTGCAATTTCCCCTATAAACTGAATACAGTATACTTTAAAAATTGGGCTAAATTTCCTCTCATAAAGCTGCCTGCCGGAGGAGAACACAGGCTCAGAGAGTCTGAATCCTTTGGTAATTACTTCTGGCTCTGTTCTGGGCCCTTTTGGAGTCTTCGCATGTCCCTCTATGTACAGGTAGGAATACCAACCACATTTATACATACCACTTTTCACTCATCTGTTCCAACATCCCATACAAAACCACAAGATACTGCTACCTAAGTTAACAAAATTGCATTTTTGCCCCCCAAAACCTCTACTATTAACAAAAAATGAAATTAATTAAATTTAGAATAACTTGAGTTTAAGCAGTGCACCAAATCTACAACGCTGACAATGCAAAGTGAAAAATTTTCCTTTAAAGGCCAAGTAACTCTTTATTTTCTTCAGAAATTATCACCCACAAACATAACATGGTATCAATTTTTATTTATCTGAAAATTTACTTTGTTGGTCCTCCCTCCCCATCTTTACCAAGTTCCAAGAATAAATTCTGTTTGAATTTATTCTACTTCATTACTTCACCTTTCTCCAAATTTTGCCATAAGTCACTCCTGTCCCTAAAACACTGCTAAAGCAACTTCCTGTGCTCTAATTGTATAGCAGTTTGAAAGGAGCAAGACAAAGTTAAAACATCTATTTTGAGATTCCCTGTCCTCTAAACATGTAAAAATTGCAAGTTTGAAGTTCACTCAATGGCAGACAGAATGCCAACTATAATTTTTACAGCACTTTTCCCAACTAAAGCCTTTAAAGACATCGCGCCATTTACAAAAAGCTCTATTTAATCAAGTGTTATTTACAGATTACTATAACATACCCATGTGCCTTTTCCACACTGTTTTTAATTTGGGCAGGGAGGGGGTCTGTGTGTGTTATGAAAATTAAATAAATGTTTTTCTTGTTTTCCCCAAGACAGTTTAGCTGTGTAATTCAGAAGGAAGCCACCACACAGTTATGCCAGTTCGTGAAAGCTTTTTGCCATTTCACTCATTTATTCTAGCTCTCATATCAGTTCCATTGTTCCATAACACTTAAGGTTTTACAGCCTTAAAATAATAAATGCATTTTCTTTTCACATTTTACAAGTCTACCCCGCATTGGTTTCACTTTTGAGAAGCAACAATACACGACTTTGAACACCCACTATTACATCAGTGACCAGCAACGTCTATGCAATTTTTTCTCTAAACAGTGAAGTTCAGCTGAACAGCGAGTCAGGAGCTCCTTTTGCAGTTCCATTTCAGCTTTTTCTAGGAAGATAGATTCTCTGAAAATATAAAAGAGCCTGCAAATTAACAGAGAGCAACTCATACAGACAAGCCAGACAAACAGATGCATTACTGAACAATGTTTAGAGCATCAATGACAATATTTCTCCATTCCAGGCATTCCTTCTGTTGATCCAGAGGACATGATGGAATATGCTTCACTACTGCTTCCATTATTCTGTAACTTTATCCTTCTGTCTTCTCTTCTACACAAGAAATGGTTTACAAATGTATTAAAATTGACATAAACAGCCCTATTGTGACCCAATTTTGTATTGGTTCCCTCGACTCCTGTGTTTCTCCCCAAATATCACTATGGTCATAATCTCATTTTATTAACAAAGCAGCTCTTGGTGCTACCTAGAACAGCACTTCAATCTCCGTCACATGGACCAGAACACACTGAAGTTGTGTGGTAGTTTTTGTTACCATTTTTAAAAGCAAATCACAGCTGTAACTATGAGTAGAAGGAGGCAATAAAACCGTTTTCTTCAGAAAACTGGTTTTTTTCCAAAACTGATTAATGCATGTGAACTTGAACAATTCCAAAGAAAATGTCACCTCTAATGGAGTACTTTTTTCCTACTGGAGAAAGGTCATCATCTGAAACAAGATCTACAGGGCAGCAAACAATCATATCCGCTCACTGCAAAAGTTTCTGCCTGCACACAAGTAGATCTCAGCTTTTCCATAGTGTTTTATTGGCAGTGGAAAATGCATCAGTACTTTATTGAAAGAAAGTAATAAATAATACTGTGATAAAAATAGTTCAAAAGTAGACTGTACATATTGTTACATAATCTGAAGATACACAAAAGATTAATAGAAAAAAACCCAGAACAATAACAATGAATTTCAGTTTTACAAGCAAAGTTAAAAGTGGAAAACAAAATAAGAGAAAAAAGACATGCTATATATATTGCTGCATAATAAATAATGCACCATCTGAACAGATTCTTGCTGGCTTTTTAATATGCCATTTACAAGTATCAGATACATTTTCTACTCATACAGTCCAAAATGGCAACACCCATCAAAATTAAAGTCCAGACAACTCTTTAGAACAAGTTTACAAAACATATAAGATGACTTACATAAGAAAAGTAAGGCCTTTATTAGAAGATGCACTGCTTGAGGTTTCAGCCCATTGTACCTTCATCTTTCCCTACTCACCTGACATGAGGCTGCAGTGCTTTAAGATTGGTCCATTAAAACTAGTTCCACCAGCATCTTTCCACAAGTCTTTTCAATCAAAAAAACCCTAAAAACCTCTCTGTGGCCTGTGGCTTATGACTAGGAATCATTATGAAGTCTGTCTTCCTCACTTAAGGAAAAGAAAAAATACAAACAGTTCTTGGTTTATGGCTTGTTTTCAGTCACTGTGAAGAGTCGCTTTACAAATACAGCAGAGTGTGTTATGAGCGAGTCAAAATCACTTCTAAAACGTGTTCTCCTCAGTTCCTCCCAGCTCTTAAAACAAGTTCTATTTTAAATAAAGTCAAACAGCCACTACTTGACAAGTCCTCTATGTGGAAAGATACAGCTCTGAGGAGAACAACACTTGTGTACCGCAGCTTCTACATCAATATCTGAAAAAAAGCTGGGCTTGTTTTCAGGTCTAACAGCTCCAAAAAGACAAAATATATACTGCTTGGTGTCATGATACTTTTACAAAGGTATTAAAATCCTTTTCACCTTCAGTTTCATTATTAAAAAACAATGATAATTACAGTAACTGCATAATTTACAAAAACCCTATATTGCTCATAGGGACATATACATACAAGCATTACAGTACATTCAGTTGGAAAGACTAAAATTAGAATAAAAAATCAGCAATGATTTGATTTGTAGACTGAATAGAAACTGAAAAAGTAAGTAACTATATAAATGAGAAGTCACATAAATATAGGAAACATTTAGATTCTAAAATATTTTCTCTATAGTACTCATGAATTTATTTGCTAATTAAAAACTCTGTAATAAAATATCTCAAAGTGTCCATTTAACAAGTATTAACAGGTTAAGGGTTCCAAATGTTCAAAACGCTGCATATCACCGGTAGAAATAGTGTGGGTAAACTGCAAAAACAACAACAAAACAAACAAGAAAAAAACAAACAAGAAAAGAAGCACACAAAAAATTCCATTAGCAGGTTTTTAACATTTCATTCTAGCACTTTCACAAGCAGCTCAGTAGTGCAGCAGTCACGTATCAAAATATTGCTATGTCATGCTGTATGGAATTTTATTGCCTTCTGCAATCTCCTATTGCAATGCAAAGTAAAGCACATAAGGTCAAGTATTTCTGCTTGGAAGATTTTCATCCCAGGTCACCTGACTACAGAAAATCCGTGGGGACAATCTGGGGGAGGGGAAGACTTAAAACTTCAGTTCCTTGGAACTAAAAAAAAATTAAAATAGCCCCTGAGATTATGAACTGACAGATTCACATGATCTGAGTTTCCATGTGCAAGAGTTTCCCTTCTCAGAATTCCATACAGAAGAACTTTTTACAACTAAATTCCTACAGGCAAAAAGGTTCAGAATTTGAAGAAAAGGCAGTCAGTACATGAGTTGGAAGGGATGCCACCAGTAAGAAGAAAGAAGGTGCAAGAAGAGACAATTTACAGTCCATAAAAAATACCAAAAAGGAGAAAGATTCACTGAATTTTTTTTAAAAATCAATTATAGTAAATATTAAAAAATTTAGTTTCCTGACTTACTTGCAAAATGAGAGAAATTCTGTTCATGAGAAAATACAGCAAAGGCTGCTGAAAAAACATTTTAAATCCTCTAGGAAGGCAGGACTACAGATCTTTCACAAGCCACAATACATGTATTTTGTGTTACACTTGTGCTATCAAGCTGCCTTTTATTGTCAGCACTGCTCCGAATTTAGGTTGCAATCACCTAAATCCAACCTAAGCAATCATACTGGCATGGAGTATCCAAGAACTGGAGAACTATGGAATTATCCTTATAACCATTCAATATTGAAGTGTGTTTTAGTGGGATAACTTTAACCAAGCAAAGACCCTGAAAGATCAACAATCAGAAGTGAAGTGTCACAGATTAAATTATTTTCTTTTCTTTACATGCCCAACTTAGTTCTCTTCCCTCCCTCCCACTTTCAGTAGCTGTGTTTCACCCAATTTTTGATTTCAACACTTTCTACATAGCACAGGCTGCCGAAAACCTTCAAAAAGCTACAATATTGACAAAACTAAGTATTTAAACACTCACTCTTCGTTGTAGGAAACAAGCTCTAGATTTTCAGCATAAATCTACTCTGAAAACTTGAACAGTTTTCTTAGTGTAAAACCACTGTAATAAAATACCTGATGTTTTATTCCATAAATAGCTGCTTTACCAGCAGACCTATCAATTTTACTCACCAGGAGAAGGCTTTAACAGGAGTAGGTCCTTACTGTAGCAGAATCCAATCTTTGTGTTCCTGATACACTGCCTATTTCAAGAAGCATGGGAAGACATGCAGAACACAGCATGCATGTTAGTTTTCAAAAAAAGAAACAAACAAACAAACCCCAAACCATCACAGCAATGTGATTACAGCTCTGGTACTCACCTAGCTCTAAGGTTACAAGTTAGAAAAGCAGAATTTGTTTTACAGTCTCTATATTAACCACTCCCAGTTTCAGTGGCTAACAAAGAATTCTAAAAATCCTGCAGGCCAACTAGCATGCAGACATTGGCAAAGGTAATTTTATAAGTTATTAACTACTTTATGTAGTTCATAAGTATTTATTTAATATCTCAGAAAGGGACTTCACTTAGCAAAGACTAGCAAAGACTTCACTTATTTTAACTTATGGAGTTTTCCACATGAATTCTTGAAAATATTTTGTGCTAGTGACAGTATCTAAGATTTAAAAGAGCTCATCAAATGCAAAGATTCCTTCTTTGAGTTTTACTCATAAATACAATTTTCAGAACCTGAGACAACTCTGATAGATTATGTTGCAGTTCTCATCCAACAAAATACATTTTTTAGCTGTCTTCTGTAAAACAAATTCAAGTCAAAGTTCATTCTCATGATACTACAGAGGCTGTTTTTAAACAGACAAGATCCCTCATGTGAGATGTAATCAACTTCCACTTCCAGAGGAGACTTTTGGGGTTTGCTTTTGTTGTTTTGTTGTTTTTTCAATTCATATCAGTGTCTGTGCATACATATAGACCATTAAGTATACACCAATGAAGCAGTGATTTCAAGTATGATCAATATTTAAGTGACCACTGTAGGGGGTAATGCACAGGTTACTCAAGTTTTAATAATCTCAAAATTATCTGAGTGAGTTTTCTCACATCATTCTTGAATGCATGTTACTGCATTTCAGAAGTGGGACTTCCATTGGTCTTAATTGCTGCTAATTACTAATTATGCATTAGATTATTAAATGACTTCTACTAAAATGTCATTTTATTTTCCTAGTTTAAATTACACTTATTTCTAACTATAATTCTGATTTTGTTACTCCAATGATGTAAAAAAGAAACTCCACATCTAGTAGACCTTCCTGAAATGGCAAAGCACCCTATGGTTAAACACAGTGTTAAACACACAACCATGCACAAGGCAGATGCTTTTAAGCAGCAAAAAGGTCATTTGAACTTGATTCCCCTGTAAATCTCAGGCAAAAAAAGCACATCATGCTTAAAATAATACAAAACCAATACCATCAATCTGCATCTTCTTTGGCTGCATAGAGGGTGAAGACATTGAGGTTGTAACTCTGAAATTTGCAGGAAGAGTCTCTGCTGATCCAGCAGCTAAACCTCTGATGTCCTTTGGTCTAAACTTCTTTCTCCATGAAGGTGCTCTCCTAAAGCTCTTATCATCATCCTGTCATATTGATAAACAACATTACCAATGCCAAAAATGGAGGATTGCTATTGAAGGATTGTTACTGACATTAAAAGGATTACTGACAATCTTAAGTAAATGTATCAACACTGAGTTAACTGTGAGGAAATAGCAAGTGTAATAAATACTGTATTGTCACACAGTGTTTTGCTTAAGCACTTGTTTAAATTTAACTTGAAATTACCCAAGTGCATTTTCCTTCACCCATTAATACACCTGCATCTTTCAAGTCATATTCCGACTTCAGAAATATAATGTTACATTTACTAAATACAGTTTGAGTTCCACTTTCAAACCCATCTTTTGCAGTGAAGGTATTGTGTCCATGCAAATATACCCACTAGGCACTCCATTTGCCAGCTTCCCATTTAGAAACAGTTCAATCCTTTGAATGCCATTTTACCTCAAATGCATTCCCTTTTAGAATTAGGAGACAAGCATCTATGTTATTTGAAGAGATCTCCATGATCAAATTGCCCTGTGCCACTAGAACAGAGAAAACATCTGTTCCCTCCAAACTCCTTTTGCATTTTGAAGCCTAAGGAAAAGTACCTCAGAAAACAATCAAGCTGTTTTCTGATATGTTATTAAAGCTTAGTAGAGATGCACACAAAGAACAGAGCTATCAGGATGTGCCACAGAAGGGCTGCAACAAGTGCATTAGGCAAGAGATGAACACAAAAATAACCAAGGTTTGTGGGTTTGCCACTTCAGCCTTAATCTGAACCACTTTCACTACATCCCATCAGCACCAAAGAGGAGGCAGCCCAGAGCTAAGACTGCCTTGGGGAAGTAACACCTGCTTGAAACTGTTCACAGAATTACAGCACAGAGCAACTGAAAAGGTTAAAGATGCAGCACTATCTCCCTTATGCTGTGAGTTCACAGGGTCTACAAAATAGTCTCACACCCAAAGTTTTATACTCATTCCATTTCAGTGAAGTTTATACATTTAAGATCACAGACTGTCCGTCAGAAATCACTTTGATGTGTGAACACACCTGGTGATCCTCTACTCTAGTATTAATCAAAATTAACACCACAAGATTTCTCAAAAAACACTCTAAGCTATTTGAAATACTGCTTGTTAGGACAAAGTGTCTTTCTCTATTATTAACTTTGTTAATTTGCCACACTGGTCACTAATTTTCTCATATTTTAGATAAAGAAGATTCAGCCCAAAGTGCTGCTATTAGATATTAACCACACAAGCTACAAAAACAAACTTGCAAATCTTCTCCATACTTTCATATTCAAAGTCATCTTACCTAAATATACAAACTCTGCCATATTTAGAAACTCTCAAAGGCAAGGAGTTTCAAGTTAAGGTTTCTGTCACTATCCTGTCAAAAGCTTCAAAAGGTTCAAGCTAAATTCTTTCATTTAACAGTTCTGATAAAGTTTCCAGGACTGTAAAATGGGTCAACAGTTAAAGTAACTTACTTCATCAAGTCTTCTGTCAGTGCCCATAGCAAGAAGGTTATTAAATTCCCTCTCCAGAACAGCACGAGCCTAAAGTTTGTGGTATGAAAGAAATGGTAATTAATTCCAAAAAATGAGTAATTAGTAACCTATAATGATTTAAAAAAAGTAATAAAACCCAAGCTGTTTAATACTTTCTTATCAGATTAATAAACATACCTGATACTTGAAAAGTTACAATTTAATTTGTAACTTATTAAAAATTTAAGGAAGACTTAACTTTCCCTTAGCTATGACATTAAAGTTCATGATTCTGACAATTATTTCAGAGTAAAAATTAGCAAACAACAAAAATGATGAGTAGTACACTTGTGTCGTGAATATGGGCAATGAGAAAAATACTTAAACCATTTCTTTCCCCTCAAACAAATCTACCAATGAAAATTGTTATTAACAAGCATAAAACTATAAGAAAAGCATAATTTTAAGTTATTTCTCTTATATGATAAAGGACAATTTTCCATTTCTGAATTTTCTAGAGCTGGGAATAGAAAGCCATGCACATACCTATGAAAAAAACCCAGTCAGTTCCATTTCTAGCCTTCTTACCAGCCATAAAGCAGCTTCTGCTTGCTTACCTGTGTGTTCTGGGTGGGGATTTGCAATAGGAGAGCTAATGCAATGTAATCGAAGGATTCATCTAAGGCCACAAGAGCACCATGAACTCCGCTCTCGACAAGGTTATTCGCATATTCTTTAAGACCGATGGACATGACCCAATGGATCATCCTTTCATTGCTCCACACAAGCACATCTGTGGAGGAAAAAAAAATGTTGGCAGATTTATAACAACACAACTTTTCTGAGCAAAATCACCCCAATCATAAATTTCAAGTGGAAAGTAAACATAAGTTTGCTGGAAAGCGTTTCATACTGTAATAGGAAAGGAGAAGAAGAGCAGGCACCGAGGCTGCTAAGCAAGCTCTATACAAGGTAACCCCAAAATTTTAGTCTCAGATATCAGAAAAGACTTCTGATATTAGGCAGGGAACAAAATTTCTATGGGAAGTCTTGGAAAACTGAGTTTCCACTCTGTTTTTTCTTGTTCCTCCTTGTTCCATAATTACCACGAATTTGGAAGATCTAAATACCTAAGTTACTTGCATATTTTCTTATAAACTGTTTGGGGAAAAAAAAAAGAAAAAATAAGGAAACTCCCTCCCCCATCCTCCTAAAACATTTAGTTTCAAACTTCAGAGCAGTAAGAGTTTCAAGACTGCTCACATTTGTAGCACATCTCTGCACAAGTAAATGATTTAATTATGTGTTTCATCATTCACTGGTCAGAGCCTACATCCAGACATCTCCTTCATTTAACACTTAGTATTTTATAAATGATTCCTTGCTCTAATGACTTTTCTTTGTCAATAAATTTTTGAGGCTGATCAGTGAAAACATGTTAGAATCAGACTGAGGTCAAGGCACTACACTAACCCTTGATTTCATTCTGGCTTTCTTCCCTTTTTCTTTCAAGTTCTTTTCGATCATAATTCAGTCTTCGTAGGCACATGATTCCACACTGAAAACTGTTTCTGTTCAGAAGAGAGAAAAATAATGGAAAAAAACCTTAGAGACAATGAAAACACTTACTGAAAGTTAGACCTCCAGCTTAAATCTCTTTACCTGTGAAAGCTGTCCACCATTTTGAGCTGCCCCCGCAGGTCTTTTTTAGTTAAATGGTCCAGCATTCGAGCATCCACAAGACATTCCATGAAATAGCTGCGGTACTGAGGGAGCCCCAGGCTTGGGAGCCACTCATTGCCAATCCACTCATGGTTCATATCACCATAGGCAAGTGTCTGTTTTTTTAAAAAAATTTTAAAAATGAGAAATAAAAGAAAAAGCTATTTTACACAGCATATTTTAAAGAAATTGCTTACTTAATTCTTAGCCTATGAAGATAAGCACATCAAAATACTGAATACTACATGTGTGTTTTCTGAAGAAGGAATCCTCATGGAGAAAAGCAAGTTCAGATATGCAGATCAGCAAGTAAAACTGCCTTAATATATTTCAAGGAATAGTATGAAAAAAACATGCAAGAGCTAATAAAAGTAAAAAAAGGCTAATCCATGTGGTTTGATAGCAAAAGCCATAGAATTTCATTGTGTTGAGATGTTACAAATGCTGACTGTCTTGATAACTGGAGGGGAATCTTATTTGTCATGTGACTTTTTAAAGACAAGATATCAAAAATATAACTGCAGAGTTTTTAATACACTTAGCTATTTTCACAAACTGATAAAAACCTACTACTCAAAACCAAGCCATTATAAATCCCAGTTCTTATCCCAAGAGACTTTTCTCATTGCAGTTTTGATCTGCAAATCAACCAGGAATTTTTTAGAGAAAACACCTAAAAAGATGAGAGTTTGTAACTATATATCTAATAATTCCTTGAGCAGCAAAATCCAGCAGTTCCTTTTTTCAAAAGGGTAATAATTCCTTTTGTTCTCCCCCTGTGCATTTAAAAGTCAAAAGCTTCATTTCCCCTCTGGAGGAAACACCTTCCAGAAAGGAACACGGTCACAGGGAAATGCACTTCTCCAAGCCATCAGCAGGTAGCAGAGTGAAGTTACTGTGGGCACAGGGAGCCAAGCTGTGATTGTTATCACTGACAATGAGCAAATGAGTAACAGAGACTTAGTTAATGGGACTTAACCAGGTTTAAGCTGGAGGGCAGCCAAGCAAGAAGAGACTACGCCGTCCAAAGATATGGGGCATGGGTAAATCCTGAGTTTTGTTTATATCCCTGTATAAATACCCAACTATATCAATGCCTGAAAATACAATTAGGATTTGTCACCACTTTAAGACAAAACAATTAATCAAGGAGGATTACAGAATTAGTGCATAGAAATCTACTTAACTATCTAGGCTCAGGGTGTTTTGCAGCACACCTGTGATGGTGGCTGGGTTTAACAGGGACTTCCTGCACAGAGCAGTTATTTTTCCTGGAATTCCGGCTTCCCAGAGCCAAAACACTAAAATATTGAAATCACCTAAATATAAAGAGGTGTCTTCCAAGTATCCATTGTACAGAGATAAGACTAGTTCCCCCCTCTCCCAGTCCCCAAGTCACATCCAAAAAAATCACTAAAAAAGGCTGCTATAAAGGAAAAACAGATTCTTTTATGCTCTAATGATTGGGACAGTTTACATACAGTCTGTAATATTAGATAAAGTTTCCGACCTGAGCCCAGCTTCCCTCCTCATCTTCCTGTTATGTGGTTAGAAAAGCAAAAGAACACACACATATTAGTATTTAAGTTTAGTAAGGAGATCAAAGTTAATGGTGCACTGCAAGACTCTATTTCTACTGCATACCAAAAAAAATCTAGAAAAAGCAAGCATCATGCAATGTAAAAAATCATAGAGAAGGCAGTTATTTCGTATTGGAAGTTGCAAAACCCATCTACTGATTAAGTTTTCTGAAGAGAAGAAATTTCTGCACCAATACTTCAATTTGGCTATTAGTTAATCAAATCAGAGCTCCATTTTACAGATTAGAGTTTTGTTTACAATCTTATCAATGCTGATTTACTTTTTTTTATTCCCTTCTGGAAAAAAAAAAAATCAAGATGCAGGTTACAAGGTTAATAATTAGAAGAAGCAACAATCCAGAATTTTAGTGTGTTAATTTTGAAAAAAAAAAAAAAAAGAAGAAAAAAAAAGATCAAAAGGTACTTGATTCAAAAGTTCAAAAAGTGGGAAAAGCACTCTAAAGAACAGAAGTGGCAACACTGTAAACTAACCGTTTGTTGTGTGGCTGTAAGATTTTCCATTTCTTCATGTGTTACCCAGACATTTCCCGTGGTCTAATATGAGCCCACAGGGAATCAATCCCATCCAGTGAAAGGAAAGCAGTAACAAAGAGGAGAGGTTGCAGAACAAATAAGCAATCGGTACATGTAAGGAGCAGGCATGGGCAAAGCAATGGTGGCTAAAGTCAGGTACAGGTACATCTACTGAAAGTCATGGCATGCAATAAAAGCTACTGACGGGGACCAAATTCCTTCAGAGATTAACAAAGCTGAACATCATCAATAGCTTACACTGATTTAATCAATGGGTAAACACTTGGCTCTGTTCTAATCCAAAAAATGCATTTGTAATCTAGTATGTAATCCCAGGAATAACTTTAGATTGCAGGGCACACAGACTCCTGAGAGATAGGTGAACTCCTAGTTTATACAGTCTGAATTATTTGGAGTTGATGGCCTTATATGTGAATTAAAAAAACCTCCAACTATTTTACAAATTTCTGCACACACATGTCTACTTCGTCTGTATTATAAATTTTGCCAAGGCCAAAAGATGAGGCAAATAACACACACCCTAAATATTTTGGATTACACATAATGAAATAAACTTCCCTTTCCCCTGAGAAAGAAAATTGAGTTATTCCTTTATTTAATTCCCATGAAAGGAAGAAACATCCTACATTTAAATAATGTGTTCCTTCTACAACTTAATGTTTCCATAAATTCTTAGTAGAAGCTCAAATCCTTCCTGCTACATATTTAGAGTGAAATTTTGGGAAATTCTAAAGATGTTCCATGCTGGATCACTTTCCTTACCGTCCTTGAGGTGGGAGGGGCAGATGGGCTTGTCAGTGACATGATTTCTTGGATGGCCAGCCTCAGCTTGAGCCTGTGCAGGGGGTTGCTGATCCCAATTTCCCGCTGTATTTCCGTGTCAGACAAGGCTGACATGATAGCACCACTTTTCACATTTGCTCGGCAAGCAGCCACATACCAGGCTGGCATCCCAACCCACAGCTGGAACACAAAAACGGAGTACACAGGATCTGGGAACCAGTCCTAGCTTCAAAACCTTCAATTCTTTAGAAGGCTGTACACTGAGGGGGCTTTTTGTTTATTTTGGAAGGGTCACTTACCTCCAGCCACACAACCACAGTAGGCCCGTCCCACTGTGCAAAAGGCAAACCTTGTCTTCTGGCTTCCTCCAGCAGCTCATGCCTAAAATTACAGACACAGTTATGACTTATAATTGATGTTACAATTTAAACACTGCATTCAAACTACCTTCTTTCCAAGAGTTAACTTATGCCTTATATGATACATTCCCTAAGGTAGGTACAGCACATGTACAAGGAATATGTAGGGATGAAAGCTGAACTGGACTGGAAATTTGAGAGCAGCAGAGATGCTGAATCTTCCCTTTCAGAAATTTCTGTCTAAAAGCCCTAGTGACACTCTAACCAACACTCCCAACCCAAAGAGGAGATGTCAGACTCATCTGGCATTAAATTCTCAACTGCTGCAGTTTTCTGCACAGCAAATTAGACTGGACCAAAGTCGTCATTTCTTCTCAAGGTGCAGATCTGAAACTTGCAGCAATGCAAGACCACATCAGATGCCCACATCCATCAGGCTGTCAAGGCTGGAAACTGGGACAGTGACCATTTAACTGGTGAATCTCAGCCTGCACCAGCCTGTCAGAATTCCAGGCAGAGCTTCAGACAACCATTATATTCAGAGACCCATGCTTTGGCAATTACAGCCCAAAAGGCTGTGTACTGAAACTCAGCTTTCGTCTCCTGTGGTGACACCATTTCCTCTGTTATTCTGAAAGAGAAGAGCCTGAAGTTTAATATTGACAATTCAGCTTACGGAAACCATGGAAGCTCACAAGGTCCCTATAAATAGCTGCCAAAAATGTTTGGTAAATCAAAAGACAAAAACTAGTGTTGTGGGTACAGGCATGCAATGCTGCTTGGCTATGCCTGCCTGTAAAAATTGATAAAGTCTAAAAAAAGCATATTGACACTGCCTTTGAAAGCTAGTTGTATATGGTTAAGCCTCCACTCACTCTCCTTAGAAATTCTGAAAAAACAACTTGACCTAATTAAACAGTTTTTACTGTTTTATGTTATTTATTCATGCCTGCAAATGTAGAATTAAGAAGATAAGCAGCAATACTACAGAACCAAGGTCCTACACTATGTATTTTCTCACTATTTAAATCAAATAAAATCTCCTTGCCTTCTGAACCGTGTCACGGGACAGATCTAAGATGATAAAATATTTAGAAGTTTATATATATATATAAATATATATATATATATTGAAAAACACGGGGCATCTTGAACAGTGATTACTGACAGAGTAGGAGCTTTTTTTTGCTACTAGTACAAAATGGATATGCAGCATTCAGGTCTTTTAGACATATATGGGATCCTCCTGTTATATTGGTAGATAATGCTAAAAAGCAATCAATGAGTAATAAATATACTAGGAACTGTTTTATCAATAGATGGTACTTCACCTGCATGACAATAAATTCCTACTGCACCAGAAGAACCTCACAATAATTTTTCCTAATTACATGTGCTGCCCAGAAATGGAAAAAAGGGAGGAAGGAAGGGACTACCAGACAACTGGTTATAAATAATGATTCTGAGGTACCATTTAAAGACTCAACAATTAAGGTGGAATAGTGTTCAGCAGTCAGCAGCTTAATAGCTAAATTTCACTAACAAAGAAGAGAAGACTATAAAAGCTAACCCATATTTGTACACTTCAAAAAGATACATCTATTTCTAAATTAGGAATAAAAGATCAGTTATTTTCCTGCTGCTGTGGAACACTTCACATTAATCCCACAAATCACTAGCCCTGAACACATTCACTTCTGCTTCGCTTTGTTGCTTAAAGTTTTAAAAATTAGTGAAAAAATTAAAATGCAAGAACAGATTAAAATGCTTAATACTGTATTTGCCAGAAAGGATTACAATGTTTTTTCCAAGAACTTTAACTTCCAAATTGATGTCTTTGTGATCCTTTTTGGTGGTTGTATTGTATGGAGTTCAGAGAATTTCAGTGTAATTTCTGGGAGTTTTATAAATCTCACTGTGTACTTCATGTGAACCATGACACAGTAAATCCTTGGGAATAGTACAGGGAATATATCAAAAATTTAAGGAGAGGTTATGATGCAAACTTGAAACCCACGGTGGTATAATAATGCAGAAAAAGATTGTGTGGCTGGAATAGAGTGTTATGGGATGGAAGCAAACATGCAGAAATAGAATCAAACAAAATAAAAAATGTTTATGCAGTATCTTTATACAGAAATTATTCAATGGATCCAAAGAGGAGTCAACCATGAAGTGGAAAATTAATTGCAGAATTTGTTCATATGCAGTAAGAGTTAAAAAATTTGCTTTCACAGGAAATCATTAAACCCAAAGCTCAAGATGTAGCACAGGCCCAAAGCATTTCAGAGAAAGAATTCAGAGACAGCTGCTGTTTCATCTGCAAATGATACATAAATGTTTCTTTTCCTATAGCACAGAACTTCCCTTTTCCAACTATCCCCTTCCAGCTTTCCCAAGACATTCACTGCATTCCAGTAATATGTGATGAAATCCCTGAAAGATTACAACTCTCAGGCCAACTGAGTTTCACAGGCCATCCAATTCCCCCAGTTAGGAAGTAGGTGCAAAATCCAGTCTCACATCTTTGTGAGGGAAAAAAATACTGCAGCAGTGTCAGCAGTGTTAACAGATGGGATAAACCTGGTACTGTGAGGGATAAAAAAATGCCAAAGGAGTAGCTGGCTACTAGAATAACTCCTAGGTGACAAAACCAAGGGATAGATGTCTACAGACTTAATAAAAAAAATTAGCAGAAATTCACTTAGAATGGGAGCCTAAACATGCTGCTGCTTGTCGTTAGACACATTCCAGAGGCATCTCACACCACCTGCGGAGAACAAAGGAACTGTGGACATAGGGGATGAGAAATGATGTCCAAACTGCAGGTGATTGGTGGAGCAGGGAATGCACAAGACCCTTCAAGGACCATCTGAAGGATCTGTGTTTGGAATGGCTCTTGACAGACAAGGATACAATAACCCCAACAAGGAAAATAAAGCAGCCTTGAGCAAGCTCACTTTGTCACTGGACTAAGACAGCACGGGAATGGATAAACTCAGGCCTTGTAGTAGCCAGAGGGGAATGCTGTATTCCAGATTTTCTTGGAAGGAACTGAAGAGAACTGATTTGGAAGAAGCTCAGAACAGAGAAAACACAGTAGTGGGCAGGAGAAAAGAGTGATACTGATGGAAGTGAGAGTTTAAAGGTGTAAAACCTGAAAAGCAACAGTAGACAACATGAAAATAACTGACCAACTTCAGGTAGAATGTCAGGGGAAATTTAATATCCTTATTATAGGTTAATTTCAGTTATGTAAATAAGTTTATTGTGTATAACTTTAAGAGAGGTATCTTAAATTTAGGTTTGCCTTCCTTTTTGATTAATACAGTATTAAGTTTGTTGTGTTTGTACACAGAAAAGCACAAACAGTTGTGGCAAACATTGTCAATACACAAAGATGATGAACACAACACTAAAACCAACATAGGTTTAGTAAACAGAAGCAACAGTTCTACAGAATTACATCTACCTTGGAAACAAACTGCCACAAATACTTAGTATTGCTAAACAACTTTCAAACCCCAAACTACAAAACTAATTTAATCTCAGTAGGGGTAAATATTTCCATCATAAAAATTCACACCATGCAAATTAAGACAAGACAATGAACTACATTTCACATTGCACTAGGTGACACTGGATTTATTTCAGCAACACATTTTCATAATATATTCTTTTGAATCTAGAATTCCCTCTCATAATCAGACTCTTTTGAAAAAAGTTAGAGCTTTTAATATATTGCTAAAAAATCCAAATGAGATCTATCATCCTTCCACAAAAATCCTAATAAAATAAATATAAACTTACCCTGATTTTGCACTACCACATTAAATGGTAAACAAAAGAAAAATAAAACAATGAAGGAAAAATTTAAAACTAGGATTGAACTGAACTCAAAGGCATACAAAAACAAATAATGTGGACTGTAATTTAATTCTGTAGCTATAAATAGGTTTTTGTTAGCAGCCATTGAATACTGCCCTCAGCTTGTTTGTGCACAGGCATGCAGAAAGCAGAAAGATAAGTAAGCAAATAGGGATTAGAGACAACTATAACTAGAAGTAGCTGTCATTGTTCCAAGTATTCAGGTAATTGGAATTCTTTCTGTGGAATACAAGATTTTATAAAAGCAAACAGTCAGCCCCAAGAATTTGTTTTAACCCACCGTCCTCCAATGTCAAAATGAAAAGCAATTCAGAGCAGCTTTCCCACTTTTTCCTTTAGATATCCAGCATCGCAAGGGATCTTTGGTCCCTTGTGATAACATTGTTCAGAACGTTGTTCAGAAACCTGCCAGGCTTCTGAAGCAGCTGCATTAAAATATCTTACTGGGATTTTTAAAATTAGAGTTAGATTATATTCATTTATTTGAAAAAAAGCCAAGAGAAGGCTCCAGGGGGACCTTAGAGCCCCTTTCAGTATCTAAAAGGGCTCCAAGAAAGATAGAGAGGGACTTAGGAATACCTAGGGAAAGCTTTCATTTGTTTAAGACAGACACTTGCCTCTTAAGCAGTCAACAACATGCAGCCATAAATTACACTTTAAGTAGTACCAGTATAATTCTGAAGGGCAGAAATGCACTTTCTGCATTTCTTAAAGCAAGGCAGTGTAGATTGTTCTCCTTGAGACTGAAATTTGTGGCTGGCATTGAGAAATACCTATACTGATCAAAGAACAACCCTACCCACTATTTAGACATGACCAGACTCTAACTATTTATTCAACCAAGATGTGGGGTATCACTTTAAAGCCCTGTAGAAAAGGGGAAAATACCGGGTCATAATAACGTATGATTGCCTTCAGTGCAGCAGTCTGAGGAAAAACAGCTAAGCCTTCTGTTATACAAACAAACCCACATTCCATTCCGACTTTCCAAACCAACACACTGCTGGTTTTCATTAGCAGCCACCAGGCATTATTCTTATTTGTTAATAGAACTTACGTACTGCAAAAAAATCCCTCACAAAGAGAAAATTAACACACTTTTTTTTTCAATATTCACTGACTTCAGAAGGCGAGTAAAAAAGCAAGACCTGTCTGATCTTTGTCAGCTTTTTGACACAATAAAGGCAGCTGAACAGAAGCAACAGAAGTTCAAGGTATATGGCTCAGCTTTGGGTGAAAAAACGCAAAGAATGCCTGATCCTACTTACAGAAATTTCAGTGTTTCCTGTATTACCAATTTAAGCCTTAAATCAAGATTTCTACTGCTAGCAATGTCTACTTTACACCTATAATTACAATCTTCGCTACATCTCTTCTAACTCTGGGAATAACAAGGATGAAAATAGATAATCAAAAGCTGAACAATAAACTAAAGATTTCTTGGAAAAACAGTGAAAAAATTCTCATAACTAGGAAAAGGTAAACGCCTAAAAGATGCCATAAAAAAATAGTCACAATAGATTAAAAAGAGGGGAAATTGGCATTATATGGTGCAAGAAAAAAGATTTCAGCTGTTAAAATATATGACAGAATGTCAAGAAAACCTTAAACAGAAGTGAAAAAAATAAGTGAAGAGAAAAGCAGTTAGCAGCTATAACACAAAAGGGCAGAGAAGAAACAGGAAATTCATACAGAGGGATGTCAGCACTGAGCATCTTGTGCTTTCACTCTGTCAACTCCTTCACACTCTAGAGCAAGTAACAGCCTCAGACAACTTTAGGAAATTTTCCAACTGAATCCAGCCCAAAGCAGGTATTAAATATAACAGATTTCGGGGGGGGGGGGGGTTGATAAGAGTCCACTTTTATCTCTGAGTTTATTACAGCATTCCAATAATAAGTTTTCAGCACTGAAATTCATTTCAAACTTACCATGACCTCTGCTACTATTGATGTTCAGAAAAAAATAGTAAAAAACCCAAACCTTCAGAGGCTTATTAGCCATAGCAGCACACTAGCCAGAAATATCCAAAAATGAAACTAAAAAATAAACCACAACATTTTTAAAGAAAGCAATACTTTACCAACAGAGGACTAAAAATATTCGATAACTTACTTTTTCTGCATTTTCCTGTTTTTTTCTGCCTGACCTCCAAGCTTGCTGAGACCTAAGGCATCCTGAGAGGAACCATCTGCTTCTCCCATGCCGCCTAAAAAAAACAACCCAAAAACCAGCCTTATGTTCTCAATCAAGTATTTAATCCTTTGTAATATTACTGATCATGTACAAAGTCAAACCCCCAAGCCCACACCCCTTACAAAACAAAAAGCAAACCCACCTTGTCCTAATCCTTCCTTGCTTGTTTGTCCAGGTCGTCCCTTCTCCTTCTTGCCAAACAAGCGGCCGATGGAGGATTTGATCCCCTTCTTTTTGGGAGCTTTGTGAAGGGAATCTTGGCTACTGTTACTGCTACTGGGATTACTTGTTTGCCCATCTTGAGAACCTGTTGAACTTTACCCACAAAAAGTCACAAAGGAGCCCATGTAAAACGAATTCACCAGTGTAACAGTGAGAGACAAGTTCAGGGTTCTGTGCAAGTTAATTAACATTCAGTAACTCACTAATGACATCTAATTTCAGCTTTTATGAGTCAAGAAAAGAAATTTATCCATTAAAATACAAATAATTAAATAAAAAAAACAGTGAAAACAATGCAAGAAAAGAAGAAAGGGAAATAAAATCTATATACTATAATATGGAACTACAAGTCAATAGAAGTGTTTAAAGTGCAATTCAGAGAGGCTAGAATTGCCAATCCAAGTTCCTGATCAACTGAGGCAGACAATGAAAGTTTGAAATACTTGAATGGAATCCATCCCAGGCACTTTGAAAAGTCCATCTGTCCATCCAAGTGATGGTTATTTTGCAAGTTATTTCTAAATTTATACCTAAATTCCAACTTGAAGAGTGGAATTGCGTTTTTCTCATTTCCTCATCATGAAGCAAACTTAATGCAGATTTGAGTACCAGAAGAATTCTTCATATAAAGCCATTTCTGATCATTAACAAAACTTGTATTCTTATTGTTTATGCAACAGTATGTGTTCATACTCTTGACTTTCAAGAAACACTTCAACATCCAGACTAAAATCCTACAGGCTGAACAGCTCTGCAGATTTAGGATTTTATTCTGATGATGTGAAAACTGAGTTTCTGGTAGGTCTGAGTGTCCCAGGCACTTACTTCCTGATGTCCCTGATATCTTCATGGCTCACTGTGTGCAAAGCTCCTTTCTGGACTCTGTCCAAACGCAGAGACCGAGGGGAAGAAGGTGGTGATGTCTCACATTTTATTGTGGTTTTATCATCTCGTACCTCTTCTCTGGAAGCTGGAGACTAATGGAAAATCAAGGAAAACTTGAGGGGGAAATGCCAAAACACGAATGTAGCATCAACACTACACAAAATATTGAAAGGAGAAATCAATTATTTCAGTGTTAAAGGATTACTCTTACCATTAGCATTCTCCAGTTGCTTATTTTTGGCTTGACTTCTTTCTAAATTTCCTGTTACCTTCAGTGATAAACTACTAAATTTCAGTCTTAGCTACTGAAATAAGTCAGTAGCACTTACTTAGTTCATTCAGAGAGCTAAGAACTAAAATAATGTAGTAGCACCACAAAACTAATGTACCTCACTTCAGTTTGAGCAAGTGCAAAAATCAAAACAGTCCTGTGAAAAGGATCATTGGCAAGATTACTGACTTAATGAACTCTTCATATTTGTGCCTACAGCTGATCTTAAAGTTTTAGTAACAGAAATTATAACTTCACAGATCTTTAATATTAAACAACGATGCATCAAGACTGCAAAACAGTGGTTACAAACAGAAAGCAGCACAACAGTCTCCACACAGCAAAAAAAGACAAACAAACAAAAAAAACCCCCACAAAACAAACCCACACTTATGCTAAAATGATAAACCATAATCTTGTTACCCTGCAAATGCTTTCTTTTATGTTCCTGTTATCCAGTAATGAGTTCAGGGTCAGGGAAGGAGATGAAGGAGCACACCATTAAACAAACTAAAGATTTTTACCTTTCTACGGTGTTTCCTTAAATCACTAGGCTGACAGATGCATGCAAAGAAAAGAAATTTGGAAAAGCTATATTTATTGTAAACTGCAGCACAGACTGAAACAACTAGTACAGAGACAAAACATCTTAGGGAGAATATAAAAAACAATTACAACAATGGCACAGAGAAAGATACTGAGTATGAAGTACTCTTCAAACCACAGATTACTTAAAATGTATCCCAGAAGAGAGGAAGAGAAAAAAATAAACACTTACAAAGGATTATCTACTGAAGTACTGTAGATGTTTGAGTGTATTGGTACTCCAGGCAAATTAGCACACAAAAAGTGCAGCATTTTCAGCAAGAAAAACAGCAAAGTGTTGCTTTCAAAAGGTGAGAGATTTCCCATTATGTGTCAAGGGCTTGCCTTGAACCTACATATCACCCACAGCAGCCTTAAATACATTGCCTGCACTAGTCCCTCCTCACAACTTAGTGGTTCCTGCAGCTCTTTCCTACATAGCACAAAAAGCAGCCAGTATTTAATAACTGTGAAAGACAGGAGTGCCAACAATAGTTGGTTTCTATACAGTAACAGGATTCTGTTCTAAGTTTGAAGTGCTGAAATGTTTGAGCAAGAGTCCACCACCAGTTTTATTTTATCCTCCATCCACTCCAGAATTCCTCATTTCCCAGGTACTGCTCACCTCTGCCAGTGCACAGAGCAAGGCAGAAACCTTGAGTTACACAAACAAGTTATTCCCACTGATGCTGATAAAAGTCAAATGTAGGTAATTTGTTTAACAGTTCTCATTATTTAAAAAGAGACAATAACCAAAAATAAAATAGTCCCCTTTGAAGTGGGACAAGGCGGGGGAGAAGTGGGACAAGGAGGGTGTTGCTTCCCTCCCACAAAGGATGCCTTTTAATCATCTTTGATTTAGAATACATGTAAACTATGCAGCATTAATATGGAAAGTTTTGTTCAATCTGACTGTAGAGTACTACATTAATAAATCATCCAGTGAATCATAATAGGGACCTTTAAAGACGATCTAGTCCCTCCTCAAGTTCTTGACAAAACACCTGACTCATTTTACTCTTGCTGGATCTTTTATCTATTAAATCTGATGCTCCATAAAAATGCAAATGTTTACTATATGGAATGAAAACTGTCCACAAAAACTGGCCAAGAGAGCTGCAGACTTCACAATTTATCATGTTGATGCTTTTTAATCATGAGGGGCTTTCAAATGACTGAACTGCAGAACCACTACTGCAGGCAGTCTTAAGGTAATTTGCCTACATGATCATAAACTGATGCAACTCCCTATTAAAACATTGAAAAACAAAGCAGAACTATTATTTAGTCCAATAATTCATAACAGCTGTTCCAGAAGTTTCTAGAAAGCTCTTGTTCTGTAATTCTAGAAGCATAGCTTCTTGTTTTCAAGCTTTCACAAATCAGTTCCCAGGTACAAAAACCACCAAATGCAACTGCAAATGGCAGATAAAGTGACTTTGATTCACAATTATGATGTAAAGTCAACTTTAATTACAGTTCACTTTTCTTCAATTACATTAGGTTATAGAACACATTCTCCTAATCCAGTTTTTTGGAAAAGAGCCACTTAAATTTGTATATGGTTTTATGCATGAGAAGTACTTTGCTTATCTACTTATTACTGTGAAATGTTAAAAGATAAAGCACCCCATATCCTGAATTTTGATAGCACAATTAGTAAGTACAGTTTCCAAAACCATATGGAAATCTGGAGACAAGGTAAAGTGTCTAGAACTAAATCAGAAAAGAAGCTTTTCCTGGAGAGTGCTTGCAAATAAATACCAGTATCCAAGATGCTCCTTCCTGAAAGGTATCCTAAAGAAGAGAAACTGTTTATTTATGTAAAAATATGAAAGGGGAAAACTTGTATCCTGTTTTTACAGATATGTTTCCATGTACAAAGCAGCTCCTAGAAGGATTAATTTTTCTAAGCAGTCATCAGAATGTCAAAAGAATGGATCTATCTTTCTCAACTCACTGAACTGCTAAGCCTGAACCACTTCATCAGCCACAAGGTCTAACAGACATGTCTTTTCCCTACCAGTTTTAATAGCCTAAAACAGGACAGTAGCACTCATTATTAATAAAACAGCAGTGATACCACCACAGTCTTCAAGACTAATATGCAAATCACCTTTTAGTTGAATGTTTAGTGGAACAGTGGACTGCTAAAAATGAAGTTTAAAGCAGAGGGAGAAAGTGGTTGAAAAGAAAACATTATTTCTTGTAGGAAGGGGAGTCTGAAGAAAGACCATAACAACAGAAGGAATACTTAGGCCAAGATGACGAAATAATAGGAAAGTTTTTCCTAATCATTATGAACTGTATCTTACACTTTTTATAAATGTTGAAAGGAAGCAGTAGAAAAATCTAGAAAAAGAAAAAATACAGTTGAGTAAGAAGGAGAGGAGGGGGAAATCAAACAACCCATTTCCTAGAGAAAAGAAAAGCTCTTCCGAAAAGAACCTGGAGTTAATGGGCACTTACCAGTGTCATGATCCCCAATCTGTCCACTTCCCGAGCTGGGCTGTGTGGGATCCGCCTCGGGGTGGAGCGGCCACTGCCAGGGGGGGAGGAACCAGCCAGGGAACCACTGGCATAGGAAGGAGGGATGGAGCTCATGGAGCGGAACCGGCCATGGGCATCCAGGCTGCCACTGCCCACCCTGCTTTCAATCTCCTCTGCTCGCTGCTCCGTGTTCTCCTTCTCTTCTTGGATAAGTCTAAGGGATAAGAGTTTTAAAGGAATGTGACATTCAAACAAGGGCCATATGACCAGAAGGAGTGGGGCATTAGGAAGGATCAGTACAAAATGACCGTTTTCCAAGTGATTTTTATCAAAGCCCTGAGAGCAGACAGGCCATACCTGATCTCTTTGTTGATGGCATCCAACTGTTCCTGAAGCATTATGGCCAAAGTCTGAGCATCAGCCTGACCACTTGGTGACAGCAGATCAACTGAGCTGAATATGGTCTCCCTGTCATCCTCCACATCAGACACATCAACATCACTCTCAAATGCTTGTGCCACATTTGCCAACACACTTGCTTGCTGGGCTCGCTCCCAATCCTGCTCATTCAGAGTTTGAACCTAAAAGAATCCATGAAAAAAAATCCAAACTCAGTGGACACAAACATGATGTTTCTATTGATTTTCAAGATGTTTAAAATAATTTTTTTAAATCTACTTACATGCTGAATGCATCCATTAAGATAGCAGTTTTTAGAGAAATGTAAAGAAAAAAAGCTAAAATGTAGGTAACTTTTCAATTTCACTTCACTGGAAGATGCAAAATGGACAGGCTTATTGAATAAATTCAAACATCACATATCTTGGCTATACACACTTTGAATTATGGTAGAATTTTGCTATCAATTCCTTGCAAATTTTGGAATCAGTCCTGAAAGGGACTTGAAATAGTTTGCAGAACAGTAACACATTAGAATAGTGTATAGACACAGAAGTAGGACTGTTTTAAATTATATTTTATAGGCTTAGCAAAATTAAAAACCAAAATTTGAGTTCAAAACCATAATCTTGCAATTTTTGGTAACAATTACAAAGACCAGTAGCAGTGCATTATTTAGTGAAAGAGGATCTATAAAATCTACTTTATTGCTAGGTACTCCAGTTCTAAAAACTCCTTACAATGATTAGCCCTATGTAATCTATTTTTTCGTCACAGATTTATTTGTATTTTCATTTCAGAGTTCTGTTACCTTTGAAGGTTCATCTCTGAGAGCTGCCAAACGTCCCTTCTGGGGACGCCTCAGCACGGAGGAGGTGCCAAAGGAGTCTGTGTGAGTGTCACCCACAGAGGAAGATGTCATAGGGAATCTGAAATCTGGTCTGCTGGTACACACAAACAATCATTTAGCTTTAAAAAGGGAGGGGAAGAGGGAAAGAAACCAAAAAAAATTCACCCAAATGATTTCTCTCTTCCTACTAGTGCCAATTGCTTTTAGGCACTGCATAAAAACTGTCTTATATGCTCTATAAAAATAGATTTTATAGCTATATAACTGCCGCATGAGAGGAGCCCCGAAGAAAAGATACAAGGACTCCCTGAAACAACATCTCGGCCTTGGCCATATTGATCACCATAACTGGTCTACTCTGGCCTCAAATCGGGAGGCCTGGAGACACACCATCTATAACGCAGCTGTCTCCTTCGAGAACACACGCAGGATCACTCTCGAGGAAAAAAGGCAACGCAGAAAGAACCGTGTATTGCAGAATACACCATCTAAGGAGTCTTTCTGCTGTGCCTTTTGCAATCGGATTTGTCTGTCACGTATTGGCCTCATAAGCCACCAGCGTGCCTGTAGTAAATGTGGATAGAGCCTTCCCAAATCTTTGTTCGCGAAGCCTGGCCATGATGATGATGATGATGATGAACAGACAAAATTACATTTCGCATAGTGACTTTAAAGAAAATAGAAAAAATTGAAATACTGCTGGTACCTATGATGGAGTGATGTGGCTCTGAGTCTCACTTGGTCATTTTCAGCCCTTAATGCATCAACATTTATTGCAAGTTGATCCTGCAAAAATAGATACATCAAATATATAACAATATGCCTTAAGAAAAAACAATCAGTATCAAATAGGGATTTATAAACTAACATTTAAGATTTTGGCCTCATTTCTATGAAACTCAGAAATAACAGATTTTAAAACACACCCATTAACAATATAAAATGTAAAAATTGGTTTTGCTGCACACAGTACAGCACTGCCACAAAAGGCCAACCCAGAGTAATTCTGCTGCCTCTCTACGCTGACTCTAGTAATGACAACATACATTTTAAAAACAGCAATGAAATAAAATTCACATGCTACTAACTTAATTATTATAAAGTGATAATAAGAAGAAACAAGAAGATTTTTCCAGCTCTCTGCACAGAAGGTTCTAAAAGTATTCACTTTGAACTTGGACATTTTGACACACCCTAGAAACTCTGAATTTAACAGCAGAGAAATCCAATGAATGAGAAAACAAGAGAAGACCAATAAAAAGTGGCTGATGATGAACATCTGTGCCTTATGTAAAAACTGCTGGCCTACACATACAAGAATTCCACATTTTGCAGAACATTCTTTAACATTCTTCTTTTTATTACAGAAGCACAGCCTCCAAATCCTGTCCTAGAGACTTACCAGAGTGATGTGGGGAGGTGCAGTACACCTGTGATTTAACAAGCTATAACAAGTATTATTTCAGAACAGATGCTGTGACCACAAAATCAACTGCCACTGCTTAAGGATGCAAAGATATGAAAGGCCTCACCACTTATTTAAGGAAGGAAAACTTGTCATTTCCAGGGCAAGCACAACACCAGACAGATGCTATTAAAAAGCAGCAGCCAAGTCTAATAAATTAAAGAAAATTTTTAGCAGTTGCACATGTATTTCATACTGAAAGCTTTAAGAAAACCTTATGGGAAAATGCTCAACATTAAAAATGTATCTCTTTTCTTTTTGCTGTTCAAGGTCATATGTACAAAAATATAAAAATTCTACACAAATCCCCAAGCTTGGGCAAATTGCCAACATATCCAGGCACTTTACATATTCAGAAGTTTTTGAGTAAAAGGTTATGTATTACCTATAAAAGCCTCATAAAACTGAGGCACACAATACCATAAAATGAACAACAACTCCCTTCTTTTAAACAGAACAGGTAATGTTAAATTCTGTGGGGAATTAAAACCTGATCCTGCTATGTAGCAAGGCAGCAATGATGCTCCAACAGAATATTTCAGAAAGGCAGAGTGTACCTTTTCATGCTGAAGCTCCTCTATTTGCTTTTTTGCATTTTCAATTTCTCGAAGAAGTGAATTCTAAAATAAAAGGTATCACAGAGTAAGTCACTTATAAAAAGCTTTACACTTTTAAACCATAACCATGAGGAGTATCAAAAATAATTCAGTCAACATTACACATCTTAAATTAAAGATACTTTACCATCATTTCACTTTGATTATAGCTGAAGGTTTATCCTTCCGGGTGTACAGCCCTCTAAATAATGGATTTAGTAACAGTACTGGTTCCATAAATTTTTAATAGCAATAGCAACCTTTTAAAACTGCATTTGAAAAAGTCTGACTAGTAAAAAAATACAGAATAATTAGGCAGCTAAAATAATTTAAAGTAATTCACTGAGGGGTTATTGAGATGAATTAGCAGCCATTATCCTTAAGTTTTCATTCTATTTGCACTTGCTTGACCTAAAAAAATTACTACACAGTAATTTCTTGGATATACTGTACTTTCAGAACTGCAATACTCACTGAATTAAGGGTTTTTCTTAACATTAGAGCTGTTTCAAACTAGAGATTCCCCCCTTCTGATAGGAAACTTATAACTGGCTCACTTTCTTTTCCTTTTCTACCACAGCCAAAACAATTAACAATTTCTTGATTAACAATTTCTTGAGGTTGTTAATACCTTTATTACATGTTTTAGATGAACTACAATTTCATATGTGAAAAAATAAATCACTCTGGGAAAAAGACCAAGTGATCAAAACAAAGTCTTAAAATTTTACCTGCACATTTCTTTCTAACTTATCATAAAAGAATGAGCTGGAAGCCTCCACAAGAACACTTCTCTAAAAGCTGTTACTTAGAGTAAAGGACAAGCAGATTTTCCTCATTACTCATGAAAGAAGTTATGGAAGATAGGAGGGAGTTTGGGTCAGCCCTAAGACACCCCCCAGTATGCAAACATTTAAAAAAAACAATGCTGTCATCTGTTTCTTCAAAATTGAATTTAAAAAGACTGTTATGACTGTTGATATCACAACATGGCCCATAGTCAGAATTTCTGAAGCAGTTGGTGATTTTGAAAATAGTGTTGTTAACTAGGAAACACAAGGCAAAGTTTGCAGCCTTAGATGCCAGATAAACACCTTTATCGTCACCTCGAAGGATAACAGTAGGACCTATGTTTCTTCTGCACCACTCGATTCCTCCCAGCTCTGAGAGTATAAAAGCAGGGCAAGGAATGAACTAAATCCCTGTAATGATCTGAGAGTCCTGGAATTATAGAAGGATGTGTCAGACACCTGACTGACAGTTTAGGGATGAGAACTGAATTGAAATGAATGCAAGAGGAAGCAAACATTTACTAAAAGTCTGAAAACATCATTCTACTTATTGAAGTGTTTTATTGTCATGACTTCAAAACAAAATTCACACAGCTTTTACTGAAACATTTTCCCCAGATGATCATTTCACTCTCCAACAAAGGAAACCAAATATTTTTTTAATCCAAGACAAGGTAATTGTAAATCAGCATCAAGCAAAGTGCCACTTTAGAAGACCTTGCTTTGTTGGACGCAGAGTAAGATAATCTAACTTAAAGGCATGTGTGAAAGAAAAATCCATAAGGAACTACATCCAAAAGCAGAAGAGAAAGAAAAACAGTAAAAGTGTGTCACAAGTTGAATGCTGGGGAAAGCTCCAAGGGGTGCATTGACAGTGCAGGGAACAGCCCAGTTACATTCACATAATGAGTCCCAAAATGATCTACCTGGGAAGAAAACACAAGGTTGTTTCAATTTGCAAGAATCCCACAAGGACTCAGGGGAATTGGTATAGCCAAGAGCAGTGGGAAACAAAAGAAACTGAACTAAAAAGGCCAAAGTTCTAGTCCTAATTCTTTAGGCTTCCTGTATTATACTGGATGAGCCTATTTATCCAATCCACACCAATCAACCAGGAAAGGATAAAGTTGCTTAAAATTAAAAGATGCCTTCTCAACACTGCAGTGCAATGCCCAGGGACAGTCTCAAAAAACTTGAATTTTATGTACATATTTTCAAAATCCACACTAAAAAACAGCCTTAAGAGAAACTATTTATTAATAAGGATTTCATATTTATTTACTGAAGTTACAGATGTGTGCAAACTGCACAAATCACAGAATTCTGAGCATTCTAATTAGTGTATGTGCTGGAATGTGACTTGTTACCTTATCTTCTAGGGCAGCCATCCTTTCCTTGAGATGCAGTTGGAGCCTTTCATTGGATTCAGACAGAAGTTTATCAACAGTTTCTGACAAACGTTTATTATGCTCTTCATTCATCTTCTCTCTCTGTCTAGCCTAAGATACAGAAAAGCTACTGAAATAACTTCATATTTTCAATGTCTATAACAATTTCCAGGTTATAAAGGCAGTAAGCTTTCTTTAACAGCAATATTTTTCCAGAGGGGAATACTGGATGGACCTCCAGGACTCTGAGGGAGTATAAGGGACACTTCACAGTTTAATAACTGATCCAAAATCAGAAGTTTAAAAATCTGAGCCTATATTAAAAACAAAACCAAAAAACAAACAGAATTCAGAATGAATTCCATTATTTATAACCCAGAAACCAATTTTTCCATAGTCATTTAATTCAGCAAGTTTTTGATCTATCTGTTCATCAGAAATATCTAATTAGATATGAATAGTAATAGTAATATTACCAGTAATATTGAATATATTTTATTGAGTATGTGAATATATATTGAGTTTAAGGATAGTAATCGGATATTTTCTATTTTCAAACTTACATGGCAGACTTTCAGCTTGCCCTTGAGATTTAAGGTGAGACATAGTACAGTGACTCAAATCTCCCAAATATCAGCCAGCCCAAACTCCGGCTTTCTTTTAAAGAGAGAAATAAAACCAGCTTTGCTGAACAGTAGCAGCCATGAAGGGGATTGAATTCTTTCTTTCAGCTTTATATCTTTGTCAAAATTATATACAATACCCTTAGCAGCTCTTGATTCTTCTCCTCTAGCTGTGCTTCCATCTGCCTCAGTCGTTCCTCAATGTTGCCATGTCTCTCCTCAGCCTGTCAATTTGAAAGCAAAATTAGAATTTGGGTGGGGTTTTTTTAAGGTTTCAAAAGCACAGAAACATTGAAGCACAGTAACATTTCTAACATGCTTTGCACAACCGCCATTTATGGTAACACAAAATACAGAACAGATGCTTTTCTGTCACCAAAAACCTTGCAAGGGTTCATATGTGAGTAGCAAAATGAGGAAACCTCTCACCACAAATCCACTGCTATTTGCAAATGAGCTTGCAAGAGCAGAAGTTCATTCACATCCCCAAGAATTAAAAAAGAAAAAGAAAATAAAAATAAAAACTAAGTGCATTTTCAGCTTTTCCTCACTAGTCTGGAGGATGTGACCCTGTGTTATAGTACCCATGACAAAGCAGAAAGCAGCAAGCAGAAACAAGGACTAAGATACAAATTCTACCTTCCTAAGCTTGGTGGTAAGTTCCAACACTTTTGCATCTTTAGCAGCAGATCTCCCAGGAGACAAAAGGTCAGACTACAGAGCCAGTTAGGGATAGGAAAGATAACAGGGAAAGAAATGAAACTAAGACTTTCAAAGAAAGTGCACACACACACTTGAAAAGGCTCACTTGCAGTTACTAAATATAATTCTTCACACTTCATTAGCTCATTTGCAGCCCTCTAAAAACCTTGATATTTATTAGTATCATTACTTCTCTTGCTCCCCATACTCTTCACTTGGTTATCAGTGAAAGGATTTTGGGTTTCCCCTTCAGAAATAGTTCACGTTTAGAAGGATTTTATGCCTAACATTGAATTGATTTTAATAAAGAGCACCAAAGTAATAATTCAGAGAGACATTTTCATAATGTAACATCATTAGCAGAAAACCTGCTCAAGTTCCAAAGAGCAGAGATTTTAAAAAAAAAATTTTAAAATAAAAATCAAGAAGAGTATCTTCAGAGAGGTGAACGGGAAAAGTAGAGAGAACAGGGATAAATATTTTCTGAATTATTTGTGGGAAAAGCAGAATGTAACAAAGCCAACACTAACACCAGATTTCATGCAGTGGGACCAACGGAGAACAGAGTCTGGAGGACACTGTCCAGGGGGCCTCACCTTTGTAAGTGCTGCAACTCTCTGGGCCAGCTCAGCTTCCACCTCTGGCAAAGTCTCAGCCTTTCTCAGGGTCTGCTGCAACTTTTGCTCAGCCAGTTCCAGTCGTTCCTGCAATTGCCTGTTCTTATCTTCACTCTGCACAGGATCACAATCAAAAATACTTAGGGTTAAAAATGGTAATTAATTTTCAAAGCAGCAAAGAACAAGCTGTGAATCTTCTACATCAAGGCTGTGCTAAGACAAGGGACAAATTCCTCCATATTTTAAATAACACTGTGCATATTACTGCAAAATTTAATTTTTTTTCAAGTGTGTACAACTACTTTTATGAATTATACCAAAAGGAACTTCTCTTGTTGACAAAAGGTTGCCTGCCTCTAATTAGAAAGTGATTGGCTAAACAACCATTTCTGGTTTATAAAGCTGGACTTTCCTGTCAAGCATATGTCAAATTTCCACTCCCAGTAAAGCAACAGTCACTTCTATTATAGCCTGTAAAAATCACTACACACTATACAAGTTTTAAAAGGTTTCAGCTTAGAATGAGTAATTCTTACACACAAACCTAAAGATGTTTGGATATACATATAACAACTTAAAAATCCACAATTAATAGGGACAAAAGCCATGATGAAGTGCACTGAAATTCTCTAAATCATTTTCCCTTCCCAGTAAAACTGTGTCATCTTCATTCCCAGGGTAAAACTCTGCAATATACAACTCCAATTACTGAAAAACAGTCACTACCAACAGCCCATTACAAATGACATTTATCTTCCTAAAAGCAAAGTGCTTCAGTAGAGCATGAACATGAATTATTTCCATCAGTTTTATGCCGAGCAAAATGCACTTTATATTATTTCCAATCCCAACCTGTCTGTGCATGGAGTCTTTAGTGGCAATTTCATTTTCAAGTTTATCATTGAGGTCGTGCACAGATGTAGCTTCACGTTGTGCAGCGAGGTAGCGTTTCTCAAGAGTTGTAATTCTCTCTTCCATGTCTTCCTTTTGGGCCATAGTCTGTGCAAGATACAAAGCAGAATTC